GATCCGAACCCGGGCCACCAGCATCGCAGCGCGTGCACTTAACCACCAAGCCACAGGGCCGGCCCTCTTTTTTTCTTATTTCTTTTCCTAGTCCTGTGTTTCAGAACTAAAAAGTATCAGTGACTTTGCAAATAGGTCAAGAAGCCACAAAAATGTACAGTAGAAAGATGCTGCAAGCTTGTTATTGAGACAGAAAAAGATACCATGGAAAACTAACCCAAGGAAAGCCTGGTATAGCATTATTAATATTAGATGAATGAGACTTTAAGAATCACTAGAGATCAAGAGGACATGTCATGATAAAAGGAAGATGAACTAGTTCTAAATGTGCACGTATCTCATAACAGCCTCAAAATACGTAAAGCAGACATTGACAGATCTAAAAGGAGAAAGGGACAAATCCACAGTTGATAGAAGATTTAAACTCATCTTTCAGTAACTGATAGAATAAGAGGAATTTTGTTTTTTGACTTGGGTGCGCTTATATAGGTGTTTGCTTTATAATTATTCATTATAGTCTACATTTATGTTTTATTCCATGAGGTTGTATTTCACAATTTAAGAATACAACTAAAAAAATTGTGGTTCTGTCACTTACCTTGGGAAAGTTACCTTGCCTTTTCAACCTTCAGTTTCCTTACCAGTAAAATGGTGATAATGGCAGTACCCAGTTCCCTGGGGTGTTGTGACATACTCAACTGTAAGTGCTCAAGAAGGCCGCTTTGTGGATTCCCGAGATGACCTAAGAACACGTCATTTTTGATTACTTAGTGTTCTCTTCCTCTTTACCTGCAGATTGGGAATTGATTGCAAATGCAGGAGTAGCTGCCCTCCCACCACCCCTGGGTGAGCCCCCTCCCTGCGCAGTGCTGCTGTGGACGTGGGTGCGTGTGGCCTGTGTGCTTTCCTGAGTTACTTTGGAACCATGATTGAGCCCAGGGAAGGCTTCTTTTGAACCCAGCAGCTACTGGCAAATAGCTTCAGTTTAGGTGTTCATCTCATTGTTCACACAAGGACTTTATTCAGGTAAAATTCCCACACGAGGAAATGTGCTGTTCCTGCTAGAGAAACTGAGGCAGGCAGGGGACATGGCTTCAGAGAATTTTGCTGGAAGGAGTTGAGTGGTCACCTAGTGCAGTGGCTTCCAAACGTGTTTTCTTTTCAATTTAAATGAAAGCAGTTTTCCTTCATGAAGTCTTCCATATAGAAGCCTGATATAGAAATAGATGAAAGATGCGCTGATCTGGTTAGAACAGGGACTGGAGGCTTAGAGTTCTTCAGGCCCTCAGGAAGGCTCTGAGGTGCCTCCATGGAGCCACAGGGCACCATCTGAAAACCACCGATTCAGTGTCACCGCCTGATTTCAAGGAGGTTCAGGGAAGTTAGGTGCCAATGGTACATAATTAGTAATAGCCCCATAGTGCAATAAGCTCCTGAGGTAGTTATTTAAAAAGGTTAACTTCAAATTTAACAAGTAATTTTTAATGTGCCATTCCATTTCAAAATGTAGGCAAATCCCCCTGAACAGCCCTTGCCTTCTTCCTCACAGGGCATGTCAGTCATGATGTTTGGAGTGGTGCTGGTCCTTCAAATCAAACTTACAGTTGGATCCTGGGTCTCCTGATGAAGTTATGTGGTTACATGTGTGTGTGATATCATACTGGTAGAAAGTTCAGGGTACAAATGAATAAAAATGTAGTCTGCAAAACCAGGAAATTTGTGATACTCCTTTCAGTCTTTAAAAGAGGGAACATTTTATCACAAGTTACCTCTTATCTATACACACAATGCCAGGGCTGGCCCGGTGGCGCAGCGGTTAGGTGCATGCACTCTTCTTTGGCAGTCAGGGGTTCGCAGGTTCAGATCCCGGGCACGCACCAATGCACCGCTTGTCAAGCCATGCTGTGGAGGCGTCCCATATAAAGTAGAGGAAGATGGGCACAGATGTTAGCCCAGGGCCAGTCTTCCCCAGCAAAAAGAAGAGGATTGGCAATGGATGTTAGCTCAGGGCTGATGTTCCTCACACACACACATGCACACAATAAATAAAAATAAAAAATAAAATAGCAACAATAAAAAAAAATAAACAGTGCCAATTTTAGGAGCTGTCCAGTACTAATTCCCAATTTTCTTTTTTTTCTTTTTTTTTTTTTTTGTGAGGAAGACTGGCCCTGGGCTAACATCTGTTGCCCATCTTCCTCTTTTTGCTGAGGAAGATTGACCCTGAGCTAACATCTATGCCCATCTTCCTCTATTTTGTATGTGGGACGCCACCACAGCATGGCTTGATGAGCAGTGTGTCGGTCCACGCCCGGGATTCGAACCTGTGATCCCTGGGCCACCGAAGTGGAGCGTGCGAACTTAACCACTACACCACTGGGCTGGCCCTTAATTCCCAATTTTCCAACTAGATTCCAGATCTTTCTAGGACTGTCCTAAGTGAGATCACAAAATCAAAACAGAATTCCAGGCCTGGAAGGAACCTTAGAGATTGACAATCTGATCTGGCAAATGAGGAGATAAACTCTTTTTTTCTTTATTGTGGTAAAATAAACATAATATAAAATTTACCATTTTAACCATTAAAGGAGATAAACTCTTTTTTTTTTTTTAATCCCCCAAAGCCCCAGTAGATAGTTGTATGTCATAGTTGCACATCCTTCCAGCTGCTGTATGTGGGACGTGGCCTCAGCATGGCCCGAGAAGCAGTGAGGTGGTGCGTGCCCGGGATCTGAACCTGGGCCGCCGGTAGCAGAGTGCGCGCGCTTAACCGCTAAGCCACGGGGCCCGCCCAAAGGAGATAAACTCTTTAGTGACTTCTCTAAAGGTATGCCACCAGAGGGTAGAGCCCTGGTAGGAATCTTGTCCCTGAACTTTTGTGTGACCTCTTCCTACCACAGCCTACTGCCTCAAAACTCGAGGTTTTGTAACCCAGGTGACCTTGTACTTGTTCTACAAATAATGCACAAACTCCAGTTACATGTGAGCAATTAAAACAGCTGAGTCAATGATGGGCCCAAATCCGATATTGCCACATACAGTGATAAACATTTAGCCCCTCATTTGGGGAATAAGTTCTCATTGGTGTTGGCAAAAGTTATTCATCTTTATAATTAAGATCTTAAACGGAAATTGACCTTACATTCAGATCCAGCCACAATTAACTTGAGCCAGAACAAATGGTCAAGGCACAGACAGCCAGGATGCAATGACAGAAGAGAAATAAGGAGAAAACTGACACCTAGGGGAGATAAACTGTGGCTGTGGTTGTGGGCAGCTGTTTCTGTATTCTTCTAACCCTGAGAGAAGCATCACTAAATGAGCTTCTGGCTGTAAACATGCTTTAAGGAGAGAGAAGTGAAGTTGCATAGACTGGACCTCTGGGTCAATACAGCTCTGGTGGGCAATCATTTGTTCCTCATGTTTCAAGAGACCTTAAGGAGAGAATGGCAGGTTCTAATCTGTCTTCTCCCAAAGTGAAAGAAGCTGAAACAGCTTGTCTGGTAAGATTGAAAGCCACAAGGCAGCCTACATGGCAGGGACAGGAGTCTGGAGTCAGAGGACTTCAGCTGGATCCAGGAGGCAGATTAGCAGGAGAGCTGGGCTGCAGGTAGGTGGCCAGAAGGAAGAGGAATTTGAGTTTCTGAGGCAAAATTTAGGCATTGATGCTGCATCAGTACGCTGCCTAGGCATCATCAAGAGATTTTTAAAATGTATTTTTTAAGAGCCAGCCCTGATGGCCTAGTGGTTCAAGTTTGGCGTGCTCCACGTTGGTGGCCCGGGGCCTGGTTACCACTCGTCTGTCAGTAGTCATGCTGTGGCGGCGGCTCACCTAGAAGAACTAGAAGGGCCTACAACTCTAATATACAACTATGTACTGGGACTTTGGGGAGGAAAAAAAAAAAGAGAGGAAGATTGGCAATAGATGTTAGCTCAGGGAAAATCTTTCCCAGCAAAAAAATTCCCCCCAAAACCAAAAGAAATTCTTATCTAAAAAGAAAATAAAAAGATGTATTTTATAAAAGTCTTCCCCCAACCCTGCTCTTGAGCCACCCAATTTCCCTTGCCAGAGACAACCACTGTTATGAATTTTTTATGTATCCTCTGGTAGTATTTTTCCATAGGTGTGTACAAATCTCCCCTCTTGTGGCACATACTCACACTCCTCTACTTCTTGCTTTTCTCAGTTAAATGAGTGTCATGTTTTAAGACAAAACCATAGTATAGACGTCATGCAGCACAAAATGGATTCATTGGTGGGAGATGGGGAAGTATTTGCTTCACAGAAGGTTCCTTACTTACGGAAGGACTCAGGCAGATTCCCTTGAACAGAGACCTGT